TCTATTTGGGTAATTATAAGTTCTATTATAGGGTCTATTATAGTGTTGTGGTCTATATGAGGTTTCACTCCGTTGGTATGAAATGTTTTGTTCTTTAATGCAGTATGCAAATGCTGTTGCAATGGTGTCAGGTTGCATTGCTCTAATTCTAGAACCTAGTGGTTCTTTTAACCCGCCAAGAAATGTGTTTAAGCACATTTCGGAAAATAACTTTTTCTTCGCTATTATAACATTTTGGTCTACTTCATGAATTAACATGGTGTTACAGAGGGAAGATTGAACCTCAATCACTTCACTGTAAAAATTTTCAACCGTTTTGTTATATTGCTTTAAAGAATGGAGATCCTTTATTAGTGATGTCTCCGTACGCTTGTCTGAGTAATGGATAATGAGATTGTTTTTAATTTCATCCCAGTTTAAAGAAGTGCCATACATATTTAAAACTTCATTTGCCTGTCCTTGAATTTTATTACGAATAGCCCTAAGTAGAATTTGTCCGTAAGGTGTTCCGTCAATACCTCTCAAATGTAGTAATATTTCTTCTACGTTATTAATAAATTCGTATAGTAGTTTTGGATTTCCGTCATATTTAGGAAGGTCTTTAATTGCGTCAGGAATTCTTAATGAATTAAAAATGTCGGATTGCAAACTTAGGGTGGTAGTGGGAGAACTGTGTTGTTCGGAAGTCATGGTTTCTGTGTTGTCACTGGTTTTGTCTGTTTCAGAAATAGGTGTAAGATTGTGGGATAGACGCCTCAATGAGTATGGTACTAACGAATTTCTCGTTTTCGGCATTAGTTTAATTTACTTTGCCGTATCTTATTTATTTTCAAGAAGGTTTTCCTACTTTATATAGATTGTTTCGCTTATTTATATAAAATAAGTTCTTATATATTTTGTTTAATTTAAAATCGTGTATAAGTAAAATTCAGTAAAATTCAGTATAAATCAACATGTGTATAACTTGTTTGAAGAGAAAGATAATTTAATGTATATCTATATATGATATGATATGATATGATATAATATTCAATATAAATCAAGATAAGTTATAATTTATTTTTAATTTTGTTCACGGTATAATTCAGTTTAAGGGAAAAAAAAATTAATGTGTATATATGTATAAAAACAAGTTGTGGTTATTATTTGTTTCAAATATAAATTCAATTTGTCAAAAAACAATTCACTTTGCCTCATTTAATTCCTTTTTATTTTATTTTTATTTTTATTTTTTTTTATTATTTAATTATTTAATTTATATTAGTTATATGAACATATTAACTTACATGCATCCAAAAATAGGAAATATTATCATCATTTTTACCCAGTGTTAGCCTTCTCTTAAATTTGGTCAATGAAAGGTCCTGTGATACAATTATATTCTTCTTTTAAAGTTGATGAAAAAGGTGTCCTGCGATGTAATTAAAGTTTTCTTTTAAAGTTGATGAAAAAGGTGTCCTGCGATGTAATTAAAGTTTTCTTTTAAAGTTGATGAAAAAGGTGTCCTGCGATGTAATTAAAGTCTTCTTTTAAAGTTGATGAAAAAGGTGTCCTGCGATGTTGAGAAAAATTTGCTTCCAAATTACACAAATCACACGTTTATTGTTATTTCCTTTAGCACTGTTTTTAAGGTTCTTTTACGGAATTTAAGGGTCAATACCCAAAGCGTTTGTTCACTAACAGATTTTTTTTTCTTTTTGAATACGAGAGAATGAAACCGTTAAAATTACTGTTCGATGAATTTATAAATTTATTTCACGTGCTAATATTTTATATTATTTTTTCTATTTATATATTTTTTCGATTTCACTTAGTCACTTTTTTACACTTTATTCCGTTCCGCGTCGACTGCGCCAGTTAAGGTTCGGTCTTAACTCAGTGTAGAAAAATTAAATAAAACACGGTGCGTTGTGTATACTTTCAAAGACAAATTTATTCTGAACCAAAAATTTTATAAGTACAATTTATATATTCAAAATTTACATTCAATACTAATCGATATTGTGACCCAAAAATAATTTATTGCACATAAACAAAATTCCACTTGAATATCTGTTGCATTTCCTAAACATTACTTAGGAATGCAACGTATTGTTGTTGTTGTAGAAATTTCGTAAGTGGGTTACTTTCGAAATTTCTACCACTTGCATTTTTATTATTAGCGGATATTTTGTAATACTGTTTTGCCTATGTGCGGCTTTTTTTATTTCTAGGTCGAATAACATAAGTGTGACTTATGTGGTAATATGAGTACATTGACATGAGAAAATACGATACTAAATATTTGTATACAAAAGCAATAATAAATTTTGTAATAAGAAACTAAGTAAAATAAAATACAATAAGTAAATAAACAATAATAAAAGATTAAGCATTTTATATATATAAGAAAAGAAATACAATGAGAGTATAATGAATATTCTTAAGATAATTTATGTGGTGTCATCTTGGGTGGCGGCTTGGTGAGTAATTGTAACTCGTTCGGCCGATTTTTGATCTATCGTAGATGTTATGCCTTGCCTGCCATAAAGACGGCTTAACTCTTTTGCATGTATATCAACTGGTATTTTTCCAGCAATGACGCAGATTGCATCATCAGAGACTGTTCTATAAGCGCAGGCAACCCGTAACGCACTGCGTCTGTATATTTGTGCTACCAGACGTAGCTGATGCTTTTTTGCTGCTGCCCATATAGGAGCAGCATAAAATATAATAGAGTCCGTTACAGTAGATAAAAGACGCCTTCTTTCGCCCTGAGGACCACCTGTATTAGGAAGAATTCGCGTTAATGCACTATTCACTGCCGCTGCCTTAGAGCTTACTGCTGTAAGATGTTGTTTGAAGCTCAGTCTTGCATCGATTATGACTCCAAGGTATTTTATTGCTTCTTGTGATAATATTTCATGCCCGCCAATTATGATTTTCATCTTCTTTTTCTGCTTTCTTGCGGTTATCAGTACTGCTTCTGTTTTTTGCACCGCCAACTCCAGTCCTGCATTTTTAAGCCATCGTTGTACTCTTGCTGCTGCATCGTTACATTTTGCTTCTAAGTGATCAAGCTTTTTGTCAACCACCACTAGTGCGATGTCATCAGCATATCCAACTATTGTCACTTTATCAGGAAGTCTTATTTTCAGGATTCCATCGTACATAGCGTTCCACAATGTGGGTCCAAGAACTGATCCTTGTGGAACCCCGCCAGTGACCTCATATTATTTTCTACCTTTTTCTGTGTCATACTGCAGTATTCTATCGTTAAAGTAACTGCAAATAATGCGTACCAAATAATCAGGTACTTTCAGAGTTTTGAGTGCCAGTAATATCTCAGACCAATTTGCTGAATTGAAAGCATTTTTAATGTCTAGCGTGATGACTGCAGTATTTCATTGCAGTATATCCTCCGCTGGTAGCTTCCTTTGCAATATTTGTTACCGTTCTAATCGCATCTACCGTTGATCTAACCCGCCGGAAACCGTACTGGTTATCAGAAAGGCCATTGGGACCTTCCAGATACTGCTGGAGACGTTCACTTATTATTCGTTCAAAAACCTTCCCAATTGTGTCCAACACACATAGAGGCCTATATGCAGATGGTTGGTTAGGTAGTTTTCCTGGTTTAAGCAACAGTACCAGTCGTTGCAACTTCCATCGCGTTGGAAAAATACCTTCAGTAAAACAGGTATTATATATATCCACGAATATGTGTGGTTTCGCTCGTACCGCAGCCTTGAATAATACATTGGGGACTCCATCCGGCCCCGACGCCTTACCATCTTTTATACGACCCAATGTTTGCATCACTTCTTCTGATGTCACTGGTGGTATGTTGGTATTCCAATTCACCTGAAACACCTGATCGGTCATTTTCTCCTGTGGGGGAAAAAGTGCCAGAACAACTTCCTTCAATAGAATTGGGCATGTGGGCTGTGGGGACCTCGGTCCTTTTACTTTCTGCATGACGGTTTTGTAAGCCAGACCCCATGGATCTTCATCAGCACTATCTCGCATTTGCTTAAAGCATCGATTTTTGCTCTTTTCAATTGCTTTTTTAAGATCATGTTTTCGAATGCGATACTCTGCATATAGCTCATTGAAAGAAATATGTCGTCTAGCTCTTTGCGCTTTTCTTCATGCTTTTATACAGGCTCTGCGAATATCAGCTATCTCGCTAGACCACCAATAAACTGGTTGTCGTTTGCCACTATATTTGCATCTTGGCATAGATATATCACACGCAGTTTCCATTTGTATAGCTATTTGTTCCGCCATGTCTTCTGCTGTTGTTTTGGAAACTTGAGCATCCTCCCATACTATAGAAAAAGCTTCTGAATTGAAGGCTGATGTTTTCCATTTTTTCTGCCGCACACTTTTGTCTACTTGCTGGTTTACCGTGCTGCGTACTTCCAACATTATAGCCCTGTGGTCACTGTGAGTATAAATGGATTCCTCTACTTTCCATTTTGTGTTGTTTGCTGTGACGCGATCTGCAAAGGCCAAGTCAATTATTGATTTACCTCTGACGCAGTCGAATGTATAAACTCCAGGAGTATTCAGCAATACCAGATCCATTGCGGAAAATGTTTCTTCTATCAGTCTTCCTCTTGGGTTTGTGTATGTACTGCCCCAAGTTGTTGACCAAGCGTTAAAATCTCCAGTAATGAGAATAGGACGCTTCCCTCGTAATTCTAGTTCCATTGCAACCATCATACGCTCAAAGTCTTCTAGAGACCATCTTGGTGGAGCATAGCAGCTCACCTGATACAGGCCTTCCATCTTCGCCCATGTATACCCTTTGTCTAGCATGAGCATCTTACTTTGGGGAATTTTTCCACCTACTATCCAAATCCCCGCTTGTCTCTCTGCATCTGTCAGCCAGTTATGCGACTCAATATTACCGTATGGTTCCGATATTAGAACTACATCTACATTATTTTCGGCTACTGTTTGCCGGAGAAGGTTTTGGGCAGCTTTACAGTGATTAATATTTAATTGTAATATTTTCATGTCTTTTTCCTATGCACTGCTTCTTGATATCGCGGACATTTTGCGCTGCCAGCCGCATGCGGTCCTTCACATAACACGCATTTTTCAGTATTTGTACAGTTTGCAGCCTGGTGACCTTCCTTACCGCACCGTCTGCAGAGTTTCGTCCGATCCGGTGCTTTACAAGCGGCTGCTATGTGATCATACGCCCAACATTTGTAGCATCTTTTTGGCGATATAACCTCCGTTATTCGGCATCGAACCCATCCCACCTTAATGTGTCCAAGTGCTAACAACTTTTTGGCATCATCCGCAGGCAATGACACATATGCAGATTGTGTGCCTGCATAGGTGGTACGTTTACTCCTTATGGATGATTTGTCCGGTTTTTTTACCTGCGCTTGCTCACCGATTGCATCAAGTAATTCTTCGTCTGTGTTCAGGTTTGTTATTAGGTCTCTGCACTGAATTGTAACGGTATGTGTTTTAAGGTTGACCGTTGCAATAGATTCCAAGGCTTTTTCAATAGCAGAGTGATAATCGCTTGACCCTCCATCTTTGCTCCTCTTTAGTTCTATGAGAAGCCCTCCATTTTGAGTTGGCTGCATGGTTCTGACATTTTCGCTCAGAGCTTTGAGCCTCTCCACTGTCTTTCACTTTCTTTAGTATGTCCGCATATGTCGTACCATCCACCTTTTTTTCTATAAGAATTGCATCTGCTTTAGGTCTTATAGATCTTATCTTATTTTTGACTTTCGACGATTTTTCTTTTTTCTCGACTTTTGTCCATTTGTCAGACGGCATCTGCAGAGAAACTGTGTCAGCTTTTGTTTTCATGGCAGTGGGCGTATTGCGTTCCTGCTCCGAGCCTTTAGGGCTTAAGTCCACTCTCTTTCTTTTTTTTGGTGGTATTTCTATCGTTTCAGTCACTGTTGCTGGTAGCTTGCGTAACTGTTTTAGACCATCGGTTGGTCTGGATTTTCTTCTTTCGGAATCTAGCTCCGTACTAAGCTCCGTGTGGGTGCGTTTGATTATGCTGCACATTTTCCTGATATCCCCGTGAACATTGCGGCGTGGTTCGACATATTGTATTAGTCCATCTATTTCTTTTCCTAAGCGTTCAATTAATTCACTTATGGTAAGTACGGACTCGCCTGTAGCCACTGCTGGTAATATCAGTCTGTGCTGCGATTTTTTGTTTCGCCGTGCTGTGGTGACATTTTCAGTGGGAGCGGTTTCTGATTCTCCATTGTTTGGTTGCAACTCTGTCATTGTTAGTGCACCTTTTGTCGTACAACTGCTCGGTGCTACTGTTTGTGAAGGGGACCTCTCACTCCCGGAGTTCCTCTTCGGTGGTTCTATTTGTGTTGTGTGCATTATTGTGCTATTTGTTTCTTCTTCGTTTTTATGTTCTGTATTATATATATTTATCATTTTATATGGGCCCCAACTCGCAGCCGCTATCTCCGCACGTGCATGTAGTTTCCGTAAGTCTTATGGTTATCTATGTAAACAGGGAGGCCATACGAGGGTTGACTTTGGTCCTTATGGGATCCAGAGTTCAGAGCCAGACTTCAATCCGGAATTAATAGGGAGTACTCTCAACCTAACCTACAAGGTCATCAACAAGATGACTACGCGCATTGAGCGCTATGTGAGACTTGCCAAGTTTTCGTGGGACGGAAGAGGCTACGGATCCTTCTGAGAGCCATTTTTGCAAGATTTCACTCCGCATACTCAGGTAACAGAGATTCACAACCCCAGCCCATAACAAACTGTGTTTTCAACCTTATTTTCCGGTATGCCATAATCAGGAACCTTACCGGTATCGGTTCCGATGCCTAACCATAGGCTTGTACAATATTTTTCTACATTCCAACGGTGGTGCTTCAGAGCCATTTTAAGAATGGTAATAGGCGCTGTACACTTCCATCTCTCACGGTGGTGCATTAGCCGCCCCCAATAAAGAGACTGTCGCTGTGCACATTTAGATCCCACGATGCCACCCCGGGGTGGGGGACGCTTACTGAAAGACGGCGTCTACTCGTCTTGTCACAGGGGCTTCACAGGGTCATTGTGATCTTTTACACCACACCCTCCGACGCCTGCCGGAATTTAGTCGCCTTTTACGACAGGCATGCCTTACCTCGGGAATATTCTAACCCCTATCCCGCAGGGCTAATTAAAGACTACATTAAAAATAAACTTCCAACATAGTCTTAAAAAACCGTCTTGTTGTGCAGTCCTGTGTGTGTAGGTGGTGACATGTTAACATGAGTAATAAAATGAACAACATGATATTACCTCGCATGTCCCACGTTGTCCAGGCAGTCTCCGTGCAGCACCTGCTTCTTTCACTGTGGTTCCTTTTGTAAAGTGGGTATGCACTTCATCATCCAAATTCGTGGCAGTAATATTGTGGCGCACCGTTTAAACATTTTTTTTTATTTTTATTTTATTTTTTTTTAATATTAATTAAAAATAGCATGTGCATCGCACGCACAGCGAAATGCCAAAAAATGCAAGAAAAAAAAAGCTTTTGTACATTTTTTTTCTTTTGATGTTGTTTTGATCAAGAGTCGCGGCGAAAAGTTTTAGGCAAAATAAGGAGTTAAAATGATAAATGCTGCCAGAGCAATGTACAATAATAATATTAATAAAATTATAAGAAATGATGCCAATGTTTTGGAAAATTCGGAATGTATAAAGATGATAAATCACCGTATTAACTGGTACTTTTTGGAAAAACGGTTGAAAGGAAAGGCGCCAGTATTAAACGAGTAACAGGAGTGTCTACGGAAAAGATTTAGGATATAAAAGGAGGTATTTGGTGAAAAAGCCTTTTTCTTTTTGATGGTTTGTTGCTAAAGGAAAAAGTAATTCGTCCTCTGCGTATTTCACCAAGACGATCACAACACCAAAGAGCAATACGACTTCCAAAGCAACGTCACAGAAATCACGCCGGCAGGTAGTGGCGAAATGTTGACGACGAAAACACCAAAATCCTCTGCCGCCAGCAACAGAATTTTTGCACTTGACAAATCCTGGCTGGGCTGCAATCCCTTGAAAGCACAGTTCCTGCACTTAGCTGCATTCAGACAATCAACTGCTCGATGGCCGGATTCACCACAACGGCGACACACGTCAACTTGCATTCGACATTCCGAAACTCTATGGTCAAAACCATATCATCTATAACACCCTAGCACTAGACTATAAGAACTTACTATAAAACTGAACCATTTAATATAACACCGATCTCTCTCCAAGAGGTGATTCATGGCAGAACTATCGCCTTCAACTACAACATTAATAAAACTGCCATTAGCGACCTTCCAAGGACGTGTCACCAACCTCACACATTTCTTATAGGATTCAATGGACATCTTGTCTTTAAAATTGGGCTCATACAGCTCAGCCATAAATTCATCAACAGATATTTCAAAACACACCTTACTGATCCTTACTGACACCTTACTGATGACCTTGGGCCCCAGCTTGTCCTTCACAGAGACATCTAAACCGGCCTCAAATTTCTTATTTTTGGGCGCCTTGGCACGCTCACTAATGGAGGGCGTTCGAATGAACCCCCCCGTCTTTCAAAGGTTTTATTTCGTGCACCCTGACTCCCAATGAGGGCGCAACTTCTTTCATTACCTTTGATACAACCTCCTGAGAAGTTGCTTTTCCTTCCTTGCTTCTGACTACTAAAGACCACGTTTCTGCGGGTCTCTTCACTGGCTTAGAAACTCCTGAAAGGGAAGGAAATCTACCTACAACATATTCCGCAACAGTCTTTTCGCATCTATCATTACTATTCAAACCATTGCTTCTATTTCTATCAATACCTTCATAACTAGACAATCCTATTTCGAGGGCTTCAACTTTCCCCTCCAGCTTTGTGTTATCGGCTAGAAGGGAACCCAGAATAGCTTCATAACTGTTTAGGCAGCTGGCGATTAACTCAGCCGTCTTTTTCTTCATACACCCTTTCGCCATTCCGCTAGTAATGACTCCATTCATCTTTTCCCGTATCTTCTTCATCGCTACAATTTTTGGATGATCTTCATCCATTATAGTCTCAGCCTCACTCAAATCCTCAGTGCTGGAAACTATGCGCGTTGGACTGTTGACTTTTTCTACCTTTTTTACTTTGTTCTTCTTGGGTATTTTCGCCAATTCATGTGCCGTTGGGGCCTCAACTTCGGATATCTCATCAGACGAGCACATATCGGAGGCGGTAACTCGCTTCATAATTAAAGCAAATTACCAATAAACACACTACCAAAAATTTATGACACTATTAAACTTAAATACTAAAAATCGAAAAATTAAATTTTTCCTATAAGGCGCTCAAATTTTCAATGAATTTCCTACAGGGCAATATCCGAATAGTTTTAAAGTCACTGGAAGTCCCATGTGTCTCAAACTAAAATACTAACGACCTCTATTATTCTGTACTTAAACCAAAAACTTTCGACAGTAAATTTCAAAATATTTCACAATATACCTGAAGTATACTACAAAAATAAACTTAAATCAATTCAGCACAAAATATGCTACAAAATGAAGTTTAAATCGATTTCCCCTTAAAATATGCTACGAAATTAAATTAAAATCGATTCCTCGATATATCACGTATTTATGTGCAGCAAAGACACTCACCTGTTATTGTCCAGGAAACGTGTTTAGCAATGACACACTTCACGTTGAAAGAAATTAAATTTACTATTAAATATTAATCAATTAAGTCACTTTCTTTATATTAAAATATTAATATAATAAATATTAATATTATTTATTAAACACATTTTTGTTTTATATGCAATATTTATTGCACAAACAAAACTATTCTGAGTCACTTTCTCACAATTTTCAAAATATTTATTAATAAAATATATATTATATATGTTATAATGTTGGTTTTTACGCAGTTTTTATTAGAATAATACTACGACTACTACAGAGTAAAAATATAAGTTAAACTATATATAATGAAATTAGTTGCAAATGTAAAAAGGAACATATGACAATGTAATGAGAAGGTTGCCATATTCGACACTCCTCCTCAATGAGTATGTTCTTTTAAGCTAGTTTTTTTTTTTACAATTATCGAAACATCTTTAGCATTTTTATAAAATTGTTCTGTTTAATTCTACAAAGGTTTTTGATCATCACATCTGCCACCATATTGTTTGAACTGCAATAGATTAATGCAATCTCCTTGCATTGCACCAGTTCCCTTATGTGATGGAATTTGATGTCTATGTGCTTGCTCCTCTTATGGTATACAGGATTTTCTGCAAGCTTCTTGGCACCTTGATTATCGATACTTAAGTCGATAGGTATATTCTTTAAATATCCTAGTTCGATTAGCAATCGCTTCAAGTAAATAGCTTCTTTTGCTGCCTCTGACGCTGCCATGTATTCCGCTTCAGTACTGCTGAGCGCAACTGTTTTTTGTTTCTTGGATTCCCATGATATTAGAGAATTTCCCAGAAAAAACACAAATCCTGTGTATGACTTTCGATCCTCTGCATTACTACCCCAATCAGCATCTACAAACCCAACCAGCGTTTTTTTGACCTGTTTCATAAATTAATTTTATATCTTTTGTATCTTGAAGATACCGGAGGATATGCTTTAATTTTTTCATGTGCTCTACATGTGGGTCTGTGTTTCTTTATGCCATTTTGCACACGGAGTATAACAAATCTGGTCTTGTGGATATAGCTAGGTACATCAATGATCCTACTAGAGATTGGTATTCATTTACATCTGCTTTCTCGCATTCACCTTGGCAGGTTGTTTGGTAGCCTGGTTCTAAAGGGATAGCCACTGCTTTACATTGCTCCATGCCATATTTCTTTAAGATTTCGCTAATATATTGCGATTGGTTTAATTTTATTGTTCCGGTCTCTCCGTCTCGTTCTATTTGCATCCCAAAAAAATGATGTAACATACCTTTATCACCAACCTGAAACTGCTCAGAAATCTGCTTCTTAGTGTTGGTTAAAATTTCCTTATCACTGCACCCGATGATTATATCATCCACATATACTGCAATTATTACAAGTTTATTCTTCTTGTTTGTTTTATATAAACATGGCTCATTCTTGCAAGATTGGAATCCCAAATTACGTAATACATTATCCAATTTTTCATTCCATTCTTTTCCACTTTGTTTCAATCCATATATCGCCTTTTTTAGTCGTAAGACTTTTTTACTAATATTAGACGTATAGTTGAATACCTAAGTACTGGTGAAAATAATGCTCGTAATTTAACTTTGGATGCATTCGGATTTCTGCTTAAATGAGCAGAATATCCGATTAAAAAGAATTCTTGCTGAAGGAGCAAGATATTCTTGATTTTGCAATTTTCGCTTGTTGAGCAAATATTGCTATCAGTCAAACACGATTTTCGTACTTCAA